TCTTCTTCTTCTGGTACCCCTATAATGTGAATATTGTTCTATTTGGATTGGTCGCACAACTTTCTTATTCTTTCATTCCTAGAGATCCTTTTTCTCTCTGTTCCTCAGCTTCTTTGTTTTCCTGTTCTCTAATTTCTATTTCATTCACCGTCTCCTCTATATCATGTAATCTACTTTTAAATCCCTCTATTGTATGTTTCATTTCAGATACTGTATTCTTTAGCTTTTCAAGATTTCTATCTCTTTGTTAAAGTCTCCCTGAGATGTTGAATATTTTTCTGTTAATCTGTAAGCATGTTTATGACTTCTGTTTTGAAATCTTTAGCAAGAAGATTTGTGATTTCTGTATCACTAAGCCCTCTTTCTGGTGTTTTATCTTGTAGTTTTGTTAGGACCAAATTCCTCGGCCTCTTTTTTTTTCTTTTTTAGTGTTTCTTGTGGAGTAATAGCTTTGTGTAGGAGGCGCCCTCTAGTTCCCAGCAGCTCATTTTCCTGTGTGGGAGCCCTAGCTGTTGGCATGCAGTGGGTGTGGCACCTGTCTGGCTTGTAGTGATACATCAGGTGTGCTGTGTGGGCCATCAGCTGATCTTGTGAGCAGGGAGAATACTTGGGGTACACCACTGGAGCTTCTATGGGCGGGCTGAGCTGCCTTCCCGGCTGTAATGCCTGCCTCCACTGCCAGGTCAAGTGGGCCTTGTGCACAGGGAGGAGCCTCCATTCTGTGCCCCTGGAGGGGACGTGGGCGGACCACCCTCCTACCGGTTTTCTGTGATGGCAGGTGTGGCAGGGTAGTGGGACCAATGCCTGCTGGGAGGAGGGAGTGGCAGGCTGTTGCATGCATTGGGGAGCCTTGGGGCTGCATTTCTAGCCAGGGGGATCGAGTGTCTGAAGCTCCTGAGAATTCCCAACCTGATGAGCTAGGCTGGCCGGGAGGTCTGTGTAACCTCTGCCTCTCCAGCACTCCTTCGCTACTGGGAAGTCCTTCAAGCTGCCTGCTTTTCTGTTGTCTCAGGGGGACCAGTAGTGTACACCTGTTCTCCACAAGTAGCTGGAAACTCAGCCTCTCTGCGTATTCCACCTGTCTTTGCTTTCCAGTCCCACTAATCTCCAAAGCACCACGTAATATGGGTTTGTGTTCACAGAGCCAGTCTCCAGGGCGAAATGTTCAGCGATCCTGGGCTTCTATTCCCTCCTGGCTCCTCTCCTTCCTCCCACCTGTGGGTTGGGGCTAGGGGAGGGCTTGGGTCCTGCCTTATCATGGGTTTGCCACTTTACTCTTTTCTGTGAGGTCCTCTCTTCTTCCCAGATGTAGGCAGTCTGTTCTGCAGTCTTCAGGTTGTTTTCAGGATTAGTTGTATTTGCTGTATTTTGGTGTTTTATGTGATTTTGGGAGGAGGTTTCTACCTTGCTTCTTACACCACCATCTTTTTCTTCAATCCTACCTTTCCTTTGTAAACAGGGAGTAGGCATGCTTTCTTGCTCATTTTCCTTTTAAAAAGAAAACAGTGATGTCCTAATAGAAGACATTGTATTTTGGTCACTTGTAAGTTTTGATCACAGAAAAGGTCATTTTATAATTTTAAGATGAGAAACTGTAAGGCTGGTGTGTAATTAGTATTTACTAATCAATCATACTGAATTTTTCTTCAGATGTGGAAGAAACTGAAGCTTTCTCTGTGTAGTTGGATGATTTCAGAAGCGTAAAGTTACATTAATATGTGAAGCAAGCTTACAAAATTTTTCTAGTCACCAGACTTTATTAGATCATCATGTCACTCAAAAGTGTGCCAGGCATGCAGTTGGCACTCCCCAAACAGGATTCTGTTCCTTCAGTATTTTTTAAGCACCTAGATATATATCGTACCATGCCTGTAAAATGAGTACAGTCCACAGGGATAGAGCACTCAAAATTATTTTTAAAATCTCTACTGGAAGTATATTTCCTAAATGTACGAAGATTTTTCACTTAGTTCTTTAAGCATTTTACACATAGCTAGTTAGATATAGGCGAGGCAGACAGCAGTGTTTGTGTTTGGTGTAGGTAAGGATGACCCTGGTAGACTGAGATGGGCTTCTCTTGTTACTACTATTAAGTATGTTTCTGCCCTAACAGCTAAGAACCTTCCTTTTTACCTTATTCCTCTCTCTGCCTTCCCATATGACAAACACACATCAATAAAGAAGTAGGATAACCTGTGGAACCATTTTTTCCTAAGTAGGAAGATGATTCCATGAAATATTAATGTTTGAAGTAGTCCTGTTTTAAAACCTCGTCTTGTAAACCTATACTAATTTGCCTCCAAATTAAAGTGCTAATTAGGAACCTGGACTTGTAGTGATAAATTTTAGAATCTGCTCCACTTTTTACCAAGTTCAGGAATCTCTTATTAGATCTTTTTTTTGCCTCATGGTCACCTAGTTTCTTTCTTTACATTTGTAGTGATAGGACCTCACTGTCCTGCACGGAAACCATTGCATTCCCCACAGCTGTGATGGTTGGAAACCTCCCCTTTTCTTCATCTGAAAACTGCCTATGGTGGAACCATGCAGAATGTATACATTACATATCACAGAACTACTTTAACAGAGTATTTCTTTTCATCATCACATGGAAATTACTCAGGACAAGGATTATGTTTTACTAGCCTTTTTCTTTCTAATACCTTGAACATAGACACTCAATAATGTTTGGAGAATGAATTCTTGCTCAGCTTAAAGATTAACTGGAACTTGGGCTAAATACTTTTTGCCTTTGTAGAGTAGAGTAGATACAGTTGAATTCAGGAGGTTTTCTTCATTGGTTAAAAGGGAAGTCTTTAAGGGGATGTGCTTTTGAACACAAATAAACTTTGATAATTCAAAGCTAATGATCCAGTTAGATAAGGAGAAGTCCCGTTTTGTTCTTTATTCTTGGTCCTTGTCTTTGCCAAAAGATCTGTGCAGAAGAGCAGTGCAGTTTATAAACTTTCTAATAACTGTTTTAACTTTTGTTTTCAATAAGCCAAAAGGGGATAACCTTAGAGAAAAACTCAGGAAGATTTAAAAAAACAGAAGGTGCAGATCCAATTACAGTACCCAGAAACATAGCAAGGAAGACAGCTCCACTGGAGTCTCTGGATTCACCTGTAGAGCACTCTGGAGTCTTAAAACCCAATTTTTCTGTAGTATTGCACAGGCACTCTGTACAAAATGGCCCAGGGATTGAAACTAAGGGCCTGAAAAGACTCCTGGTTCTCAATCCCTGGTTGTGCCTGAGGATACTGAGACCAGAAATCTCTGGTCACTTTTCAAAAGGAACACAGCTGCCTTTAGGCAGAGCCTGAGTCTAGAACTCAAGATTTTTGATTCACTCTAAAAATAAAACATCAGAAAAGGCAGAAACTGTTGATTGCTTACCCGGCCACATTTTAAGTGTTATAGCCAGTGGGAGTTGGGATTTAGACCTTTTCCTTCCTCAGAATTATTTTTGGTCTCCATGTTTCCAGCTTTGCGTAAATCCTGAACCTGCTGTGGCCCTGAATAGGCCATGCAGTTGCACACTCTTCCTTTAAGATTATACTCTACCAGGCTGGCCCGCCTGGCCACCATCCTCCAGGATGCTCCCTGCTGCCCCTCAGACTCTCATAGCAGCGGGCATCCATTTCTGTTAGTGCCCTTCTGGCCTTCTGGTCCATCATAGTGTGCAAGTGACTGAGCTGGTTCTCGTCCTCCCCTCCAGCTTTCCTCCAGCTCCTGGAGCTGGGCCTCCCACACAGTCAGCGTTCAGCACAAGGTTAGCAGATTTCCTTCCATTTCACCCTCACTTTCCCCTCCCAGAAGTAGCTCTTCACAGTTGTACCAACTCTGTAAGGAATACTACTTTCATTTTCTTTTGTTCAAGAATAGTAATCTGACCATTAGACAGCCAGGTCAGGCTTTCCTTTCATCAGTCCTTGGTACATTCAGCCCCTCAGGCTTCAGCCCCAGCAAGCATCCTCCCTGATAGCTCTCCTTTGCTGGTCATGCTCTGCACCCCACCTTGGGTCTGTGAATGTGTGATGTTTCTGGAGCCCATTCCTTTCCTGCCGCCATCTTCCTGGCCTTCATCCAGTCCTTCTACACTTGCAGTAATTTATGGACTGTTCTCTCTGCTTCTAGTCTTGTTTCTTTGCCAAGCCATTGTTTGCCCAGTTGCCAGATGAATCTTCAAAAGTGCTGCATTTTTTAAGTCAGTCTTTGCCTGCTCCGCCTCAAAAACAATTAAATAGCTTCCTGTAACCATAGGGGGAAGTCTGAAGTTCTAAGCTCATCATTCAAAGCCTGCTATTGTGAGGTGCCTGCTTTCCTCTTGTTCTTCCTACTCCTTCCTCTGCCACAGCCTGTTCAGTTTTGAGTGCTTCCTGGGTGTGCCTCGTACCTCTGCTCTCTGGAAGTTATTAGCTCCTTCATGGGGCCTGGGCTACCAGCCATTCTTTTCAGGTCTTTGCTGATATTCCCTGGCTGACCTGTTCGTTTGACACTTAACTCACTAAGCAAACATTAGGAAAGACATACTGTTTGTTTCTGTGAGGAATGGTTGCAGAGGGGTAAAAGGGTCAGTCCCACTACCAGGAAGCTTGCCTGTGTCACCTGGATTCTGTGTCGTCTTGTGTTTATGTCTACTGGATTGGGAGTGTAAAGGCAGAGATCAGGCTTTACATTTTAAATTAACAATTTTTATAAACTACCAGCACCCAGCAAGTGTTTTGCTCAGGTTGATAATAAATGCTGTGAGGGCTGCTGATAATACACTCCCATTAGGACTTCTTGGAATTTCCCACCTTTATTATTTTGGCATGGTTGATTCAATCATTCCCATTTAATGTACATTCCCATTTTAGTTTAGCATGAGTTACAACATTAAAAGTAAGGTAAAACTATGAATGTAAAGTCATCAGCTGAGTTATTAGACTTAGATGATGTAGGATAGAGATTTCTCATTTGGCACTGCCTATATTAACTTTTCTGCCATTTTTCTTCAGCCTGCATGAAGAAATCAGTGATTTTTATGAATACATGTCTCCAAGACCAGAGGAGGAGAAGATGCGGATGGAGGTGGTGAACAGGATTGAGAGCGTGATTAAGGAGCTCTGGCCCAGTGCTGACGTGAGTACCTGTCCAGGTAGCCAGGTGCTGAGGGTGATACCCCAGCCTGCAGGATGGAGAACACGTGGTAGCCTCTCATTCAGAGTCCTTGGGCATGCATATGTGCATCTGTAGAGTTGTGGTCTCACTAAATTTTAAAGACAAACGATTTTTTTCAGCCTTTAGAATTTTGGCCCTCCTAAATGTTTGCATTGAATGAGGGGACTTACTTAAAACTTACTTCTCAATGCTGAATAACAATTACTAAAGGTGTACCTTATTCAGAAATCATTAGTATAAAGAGAGGACAGACAAACCAAGCCCACTGTAGTAGTCTGTTACTGAATGTGATCTATCAAAATCCCATCACTACATGGATGGAGCTAGAGGGTATTATGCTCAGTGAAATAAGCCAGGCGAAGAAAGACAAGTACCAAATGATTTCATTCATATGTGGAGTATAAGAACAAAGAAAAAAACTGAAGGAACAAAACAGCAGCAGAATCACAGAACCCAAGAATGAACTAACAGTTACCAAAGGGAAAGGGACTGGGAAGGATGAGTGGAAAGGGAGGGATAATGGAGTGGGGGGGGAAGAAAGGGGGCATTACAATTAGCATGTATAATGTGGGGGGAGGCACGGGAGGGCTGTGGAACACAGAGAAGACAAGTAGTGAATCTACAGCATCTTACTACGCTGATGGACAGTGACTGTAATGGGGGTTGTGGGGGGACTTGGTGAAGAGGGGAACCTAGTAAACATAATGTTTCTCATGTAATTGTATATTGATACAAAAAAAAAAAAAGATTCCCATCACTGCTGTGTTCTAACCTGCCATTATGTAATTGTTTATAGCTGAATGAAAATGTCAGGTGGGAATTTCTTACATCATTTGAAGTTCATTTTCCTAGGCTACTGCAGGCATAAGTTTGTTCTGCTCCTCTCCTGACACTGCTGTGTTGTTCTTTCTGTCCACTCCTTGTCTCCCAGTACAGCCCCACCCAGTGAACAAAACTTTTGCCCAGGATTTCCTCTTTGCTTATTTGTGGTTCTTATTGTTGACACTATGTTAATACTTTACTTTTGGGGGCTCCTTTGAGGGTCTCTTCTACAGTTTTGTGCATTCAAAGAAATATCCTATTTAGAATCCATTACTTTGTGTCACATAGGTTTTCTTTAGACTCTCTCATAGGGTGGTGAAGGGGAAGCCAGGAAGGTTTTTTTGATCTAATTGTCAAAACAAAGAAGCTTCAAATAAGGTCCTGTAGGTAAAGAGAAGAGGGAGGATGCTAATATTTTATTGAGCAGCTACTATAGACCACATTATTTCTCCTATGGGATCTCAATTGATGGCTTTCAACAGGGGCGAGTTTTCCCCAGGAGGCATTTTGCCATGTAAGAGACATTTGTTATTGCCGTGATTGGTGAGGTGCTCCTGACAGTAGTGAGTTGAGGCCAAGGATGTTGCTAAACATCCTAGAACAACCTGGACAGCCCCTCACAAACTAAGAATTTTCTGCCCCAAATGTCCATATTGCTGAGTTTGAAAACCCAGATCTGCCCTAGTCATCCTCCCTCTGAGGGGGATTTTACCCATATTTTTTTTTTTTTACAGCTGAAGAACACACAGCTCTGTTTAGGTTCTTGGATCCACCTCACCTCAAGGTTGAGCTTTGTCATCGTTCCTCCTGTGTTGCATTTACCTGCATATATGTATATGTTTATCCACCTTACTCTTCCACTGATCTCTGAATGCTGAGATAGGACATGGCCCTGTTTTATGCCACAGCACAGTGTTATGATGACAGTGCCTGAGTTCCCTGTGGAGCTGGTCTGCAGGCCAGTGCTTGTCTGCAGTTGGAGTAGTCTGACCCTAATTCAGTCATCTATGAGAAGACTCCTACTTAGAGAACAAAAATTGATTTGTGATTGTATCTCTGGATTATAAGGGAACATAATGTGAATATTCACATTAGTGGTATAAATATTACTTTTGAAAGTTTTCTGTTGATATTTGAAGCTAATAAATTTAAACTGTATTCCTAATGACTGCCTGAGGCTATATAGCATCCCCAAAAGCACGGTGTTAGAAAAAATGCTCTTGTAGTATTAAAGAATACCAGAAGAGGGTAGCAAAAACCCAGCATTTCTCTAGAGCTTGGTGGCTTTATATCTGATACTGTAATATAATAATTTTTTCTATTTCAGGTCCAGATATTTGGAAGCTTTAAAACTGGCCTGTATTTACCTACTAGGTTAGTATGTTTATGAAGCTTTCAGGGGATTGTGCATTTTTCTAGAGTGTATTAATTTTGGCTGTTGAATGTGTAAGAATAGAAACAAAGTAGATCCATGAAACAAAAATTCACTTGTATTTTATTTGAATTATCTTAAGGTAGTACCACTTCAGACCATCTTATCACACTGAGATGATGATAGTTGTAAAAGGGAGCATGCAGCAATGTGATCAGTTAGTCACCAATTTAAGCACCAACCTGAGTGCCTGCAGGGAACTGACTGCCCTGCCGAGAACCGTTCAGCTCTGTAACTTAACCCACTAACATGGATGTTAATGTAATATTATGGTAAAACTCTTGATTATACTGTTGAGCTGCATATACTCTGGAATGCTAGTTCTCTCATTTTTTATTAACTCATACTGTGAGCGCACTTCTGTCATCCTGATCCATCGTACCTCACACTGTTTCCTGAGAAAGGTCTTGGTCTTTTCAGCCCCCTTATTTATATTTGAGTCTTCGCAAGTGAGGATTGTCTTGGCCCACAGCCATGGGGTGAGGGAGGGGTGCTTTTTTTGGAATGGTAAGACTTTCCTGAAGTACGAATACCTGTTCTCTAAGAATTGAAATGCTATGGTCTTTACAAAGGAAAAACACTCCATTGTGTTTTTGTTTTTATTTTTATTATGGTAAGAACACTTAACATAAGTTTATCCTCTTCACAAAATTTTAAGTGCCCAGCAGTACAGTATGATTAACTATAGGCATCCATCATGCTTTTTGATTTGAGCTTGATTCTTTACCCAAACTTAAAATGTGTTGAGGTGGATAGATCCTAGCAATTTCCATTCTTCTCATTGCTGTCTGAGGTCTACAAAAGCCATAAAATATTCAACTTTGAGTTCATTAATATTTTTCCTTATTTAGGTTCTGACCCTTCAGCAAAACCCTGAATCACTCTTTCTAAAAAATTTCATTAAATTTTATGACTAGGTAGTATATTCACATAGTTCAGATTTGAAAAGGGCACAAAAATAATTAGATGAATCTAGTGAAAAGTCTGGATCTCATCTCTGTCCTCCAGTGCTTTTCCCAGGAGGAGACCCTGTTACCAGTTCCTGGCATATCCTTACAGAGACATGCTGTGCATATAAAAGGAAATGTGTGTGCATGTGTTTTCTTCCTTTTTTTAACCAAATGGTGGCCTATTAGATACGCTGTCTGCAGCTTGCTTTTTACACTTAATAATCTAAATCATAATCAGTTATTGTCATCCACATAGGAAGGTCATGAGTTTTTTAGTACCAGAAACCTTTATGAATAGGAAACGTTAATTGGTATTTTTTGAGATTTTTACTTCTTTTAAAATTACTCTGTGTCTTGAGTCCTGACTCCTGTGAAATGACTGGGAGGAGGAGGTTATTAGAATCACCAGCCTCCACTTGCTCCTGAACAATAGTCATCACCAACACATTTACTCTGCATTGGCAGGGTGAGAAATAGGTTTTAATTGTACTAATTTAAAAGTATAGAAGTTTGAATATCAGTTAAGGCAAGTACAGCTTATTGCTTCTTTGAACAACTCGTGTGTGTGTGTTTTGTGCTCAGTGACATCGATCTTGTGGTATTTGGGAAGTGGGAGAACCTCCCCCTCTGGACCCTGGAGGAAGCTCTTCGGAAACATAAAGTTGCTGACGAGGATTCAGTGAAAGTTCTAGACAAAGCAACTGTAAGTTCTAAAGCATTGCATCTTAAAATCTCTAGTTACTTATGCATGAAACTTATAAAATTAAAATTCATTTTGGTGAGCACAGTTGGATTGTGAGCAAACGATTCATTCATTAATAATCACAGTGCTTGTACATAAGTTTTGTTTGTGAAACAAATGAACTTATTCTGGTTATATAGTTCTTTAAAAATAATACTCAATTTTATCATGCATAGTATTCCTTGTAAAGATTTTTTAATATAAAAATGCATAAATAAAAATGGATATCTATTAAACAATTTATACTTACACAGAAGATACTGCTCTCCTATTGTCTTTTGTTTCCTTGAAAAATTATATATAGTTGAAATTTTGTAAATCAAGTAATATTTTAACTAAAAGGCCATTAACAAACTTTCATGGAAGCCCACTATAGAAATAAATATATCTATTTTAGAAGTTTGGATTTTTGCATATTAAGTTGTTTTAGAACAAGACAACTTGTAATGTTTTTTATAAAAAGCTGTTAGTGGAAATCCAGTTCTCACATAGTTTGCTGGTCTGAATTTTCTAATGCATGGTACAAATAGAGCTACCTGCTTTTATTTTTAAGACTTCCTAATACTTCACATAAGTCATTCTATCATTTTTTATTTGAAAATAATTCTTACATTTTAACTTCTCTTATTAGGTTGTTCTTTGGGCTATTTGCAAAATTTAGCAGTAATGCTAGTAGGTTACTGTGGCTTAAGAATCTAGCAGCTTTCTTCCTAGAAACAGTTGGGTCATATGCCTTTCATAATTCCTGATCTTACACTGAGTTGGAAACTGTGGTCCAGAGTACATAATGTTGAGAATGGTTTTTCTTACCTGATTTCAAAATTCTCAACCAACAGAAATTATAAAATGTATGACAAGAGGTTAAAGACTAAATAGGTAATAAAGTATCTAGAAAGTCAAATCAACTGCGTGACAGACCACTATATTCAGACCACTCAGTGTTTTTATGTCCTCAGGCGGAGGTTAAGACCTCAAGCCTGGTAACTTTTCGTCCTCTGATTTTGTCATTTAAATTGGTTAGAGTATTTTAATTTTACCTTTTATTCCTCTTTCTAGGTACCTATTATTAAATTAACAGATTCTTTTACTGAAGTAAAAGTTGATATCAGCTTTAATGTACAGAATGGCGTGAGAGCAGCTGACCTCATCAAAGATTTTACCAAGGTCAGAAATTTATTCTAATACTTTGGGGGAAATATTAGAAATAGTTTTGTTTTGAGATTCAGTTGTGGTGCTGTTCTTATACTTTGCTAAACTATTTTTATGCGTATATTGATGACAAATGCTTCTTTTTTGTGCAGTGGTTGTACTTTGACTCTGTAATAATCAGTAATTTATAGTGTGACCTCATGTAAGAATTAAGCGTTGAGAAAGCTTTTGAAGAACTTCTCTGCTCTAGATCCTTCCTCTTAGGGAGATAAGGGCTGAAATTGTGCTGTACAATTGATTCCAGCCTGCTTTTCATCTTCAAGAGTTCAGACTAAGAACCTCCCTAGGGAGCCTTTTCTAGATTTTAATCCCCAAGTCTTTTTCTCCTTTTTCCCTTTTCTTCCAAGATAGGGAAGAATTTGTCAACATTATCTTCAAAACATTTCACATGCTTAGACACATTCCTAAGCCAAAAACGTTATCTGCTTTGGCTTATGTAGAATATCTTTTCTATCCATTCACAATGTTTTTCTTCGTAGCTGTATGGGCTCACCTTTTCCTTTTTTTGTAAGAAAAAATTTCAACTATTTCATCATGTTGTAAACATTATTTTATAAATATGCAGAAAAATATCCACAATCTCACTCTTTTGGAGGTGTTGAATGCAAAAAAAATTTTTTCCTGGAAAAGAGACTTTAGAATTGAGAATAATGCACACGATAGAAAATACACCAATATAAAAGGATAGTGAAAAGCAAGTCACCCTTATTCCTTATATGCTTGGATAGGATTTGCCATCATTAACCTTTCTTTTTTGCTTGTGTCCTCTTCTTAAAATTTTTAACAAAGGGAATAGCACTCTACGTACCTATTGTCAAATTATTTTTCTTTTAATTTATGTTTTGGAGTGTTTTTTTGTATCAGCACAGACAGGTCTCCTTCATTCTTTTCACTGATTACACAGTAGTCCCTTGTCAGAATGTATTATGCTTTGTGTAGCCTGTTTCCAGTGGGTTTTTTTGCTGTTACAAAAAACACTTGGTGGGCATCCTTACATGCCTGCATCTTTCTTTACACTTTTCAAATGATTGTAGAAGGATTCCTGGAAGTGAAATTTCTGGGTTAAAGGGTATATGCAGATAAAATTCTGCTGGAAATTTGTCTGATTGTTCTTTAAAGACACTGTATCTATATCTGACTTCAACCGTAATGTTTTAAAAATGATTTCTCCATATTTTTGTTATTTCTATACTCACTTACTTTGACATTATTTGTAAAAATATTAACTTTTTTCTTCCACATGGAAGCAGTCTGTGTTCATTGTAAGCGTCAAGAAGAAAGGAGAAATCACTAGTAATTCTACTACCCACAGATAATAGGGAGGTAGAATTTATACCTGTAGGTAATGGCTGTTAAGACTTCTTTTCTAGATGTTTGTGTCTGCTTTGTTCCCTCAGCATCCCTAGCATAAGGGCTGGCTGTGGAGAGTACATAATGAGCATGTGCATGAGTGAAAGACGGACTCTCACTGTCCATATTTGCCAGCTCAGGGGTAGCCACTGCTCTCTGTAAGGAAGGTGTCTGTGTGTGCTCACCTCACATGGAAGACCGCAGGCAGGACAGCTCCTGCTTGTGGGCTCTGCAGGTCAGCCAAAGGACCCTGGTAGCCTGGGGGGACACCACCTGCAAAAAGTGATTCAGTGCTTTAAGAGGGAGACTCTATCCTGTACTGTTCCTGTTACTTGTTTAAAAATGAGTATCGTCTGGTAATACCAATAAATGAGTGTCATCAAATATGTGTTGCTAGTGTTTCTGTTCCATAGTGAGTCTTTTGGTGCCATTATTTATATCTGCATGTTTTAGATTTAGATGTGAGAGGAAAATCCTTAATTGTAGCTTACTTTTTTATAGTTTGCTCTTAAAATAGAAAATTAAGTACATTTCATATCTACACCAAATTTATAATGTAAAGACAGTTAAGTGTTTTTACTGATACAGGAATTTATTGAAAATATGATTTTATTTCTTTTTCAGAAATACCCTGTATTACCATACTTGGTTTTAGTATTGAAACAATTCTTATTACAGAGGGACCTTAATGAAGTATTTACAGGTGGAATCGGTTCTTATAGTCTCTTTTTAATGGCAGTGAGCTTCCTTCAGGTAAGTTGTGTGCTTATACTCTGCTAGGACACCATAAAATTTAAGAAAATCTACAGGGGAATCATTTTGGCAATGACTTAATTTCCAAATTAAATCAAGCTCTAATTGGAATGCTTCCCTTAATTACCTATGACTTTTCCCTTTAAATAGTACCTTCTTATAATTTAGCAAGTAAGTATTTTTAAATCCCTGGGAAAGAATTTTTTTGTTACTTTTAATCCCCGCATGTTTTAGTATTTTTGAAACTTTTTACTGCAAATTTTAACATGGCGAAGGTATGGTATTGGTTTCCTGAAGTGTAAATAGTAGTATAAATGCCAAAAATGAGAATGTCTTCTAAGCAGCTCATCATCTCAGTTTAGCTGGAATTGAGGCCTGCTATCTGGGTAAGATGAATCAGAAGTCTTAATATTGTCAGTGTGTATTTATGTGGTGTAGTGTTGCCAAGTGCCTGACTCTCTTCATGAGTCAGAATGACTTCCCTAATGTATTGGGCCAACCAGCCCTGGCAGCATCCTGGGGCAGCTGTAAAACTCAGCCTTATAAATTTTACCCCACCAGTTCCACAGTCATAGAGCTCTAATATTGTCTGCCACAGCAGAACAGTTACTCTATTACCTGCTGGCTACTCTGCTAAACCAAAATTGTAATAGTACTGTTTTGTAGAAGTTATGATGTCATTTATTGTCCCCGCCTTGATAATTTAGAGAAAATCCAATATAATTGTTTTCTTTTTTCTTTTTCCTTTCTGGTTTTAGTTACACCCCAGGGAAGATGCTTGCATCCCCAATACAAACTATGGTGTTCTCTTAATAGAATTTTTTGAATTATATGGACGACACTTCAATTATTTAAAGACTGGCATCCGGATAAAGGATGGTGGTTCATATGTGGCCAAAGATGAAGTACAGAAAAATATGCTAGATGGCTACAGGCCATCAATGCTTTATATTGAAGATCCTTTACAACCAGGTATTGAAATTAGGTAAATTTGTGGGCATTCAAAGAAAAGGCATTGTCAGTCACCATATTGTACTTGAAACTGTCTTTAGATGAAAAATTAAGGATTAACTTCTAATCATAGTTACTCTCTTTTCATCAAAATATTTTATAAGCAAACAAGAAAATATGAGCATACACACACACACACACACACACACACACACACCACCACCACCACCACCACCACCACCACCACCACCACCACCCCCTCTCCCATTGCAGACTTCAAATGAATTGGGAGTAGAGTCCAGTCTACTGAAAAACAAAGGGAAATAGGTATTAGCTGTTTGAGTGGCTTGTGTGCATCTCTAGTTTGATGGCCATTTTTCTTTTTCCTTATGTCTTCATTGCCCCTGATTCCAGCCAGTAGTCAGCTAGCATTTCAGCTTGAGAATTCTGAAGTCCTTAGAGGCAGTAAGCACTGTTAATAAATCTCAGAGTTCATGTGTGAAAGGGTTCAGAGAGACAATTTGTTTTCCTTTGGACCCCTTCTTCCTTAATTTTACATCATCTTCCTGTGCTTTTTCCAGCTGTTTGTTGGCTACAAAGTGAACAGAAAATGAATTCCTTCCATGCTTCCTTGCAATTATGTTTGCTTGCTTGTGTCCTCATTTTTCTGGGAAGTATTTTTTTTCCTGATAATTGTAAAATATTGAGATTCTGCATTATCAGACCAAAGCGGAAATGCTTTTAGTTGACTTTGAAAATAAGGAATGGAAGTGAAAAGATACAGTAGTTGCCTAGGAGCCCTTTTCTGGCTTATTGAGCCCTATTTTAAACATTGATAGCCTGCTCTGCATATAGTTCACTAAGATTTTTTTTTTTAGCAAGATGTTCCTTGCTTTTTAAGAGCTTATAATTTAGTGTGGGAGATATTTATATAGCTACCAGAAACAAAAAGAGGTACTCCTAGTTAGTTTGTTTTCACTTTCGGGAGAGAACAGGCAGTTGCTTCTTTTGTTTGGGATAGTCCCTGTTGGGCCAGAAGATATTTAGCAATTTATACACCATAATAAGTGTCCCTGCTGCATAATACACACATTCAGAGCCTGGGGAGTTGTGTGGGGATGACTGACAGCCAAAGTTCCAAGTGCAACTCCAGCAGGATAGCGATAGCCCTTGCTCTCCCAGAAGAGAGCATGTGATCTTTTAGTTTATGTTAAGCAATGGTAAAGCTTTCTATCTTTATGTACATTTCTTTTAAAGGTAATGATGTTGGAAGGAGTTCATATGGGGCCATGCAAGTGAAACAAGCCTTTGATTATGCCTATGTTGTTTTAAGTCATGCTGTTTCGCCAATAGCAAAGTACTATCCCAACAATGAAACGGAGAGGTAAGAGTAACTAAAATCAGCCCATTGCATCAAAATTGGTTGTGGCTTCTTATTTTCAAATTAATGTACCCCCTCTTTTTTTTTTAAACACACGCAGCATATTAGGTAGAATAATTAGAGTAACGGATGAAGTTGCCACATATAGAGATTGGATATCAAAGCAGTGGGGCTTGCAAAATAGGCCTGAGCCTTCATGCAATGGTAAGAGTTTTTCATGTGATTGATTGACCAAGTATTAGAGGCTTTTCTGTGTTGTGTGTGTTTAATGGGAAGAAACGTTTTCCAATCTTTTGCCACTCTTTCAGGAAATGGTGTTACCTTGATAGTAGATACTCAGCAGTTAGATAAATGTAATAATAATCTATCTGAAGAAAATGAAGCCCTTGGAAAATGTAGAAGTAAAACTTCGGAATCTCTTAGTAAACACTCTTCAAACTCTTCATCAGGTCCAGTGTCTTCTTCTTCTGCCACACAGTCCAGCTCTAGCGATGTTGTAAGTATGAAGACATGGCTTTTCTAAACCTACATGCTTAAGAGTTCTCTTGTTGGGGATAGCTCTGTCTAGAGGGCTAAAGCTAACTCATTTTCTTTTCTGTTCCTGGGAAATTTTAATAACTTTAATGATTGTACAAACATAGCAAAAGTGAAAGAAGTTCAGTGACCATCCATATACACTACCATTAGATTCTATCATTAGCATTTTACTTGCCAGTCACGTCCATCCATCCCTCTATCCATTAAGTCATCTCATTCTTTGATACATGTCAAAGTAAATTACTGACATCAGTACATTTCCCCCAAAGTATGGTAGTATGCTCATTATTAACCAGAGTTCAGTATTTATCTAATTTTTTCTTTTGATGTAAAATTGACAAAAAGCGAAATCTTAATTCTACATTCACTAAATTTCAACAAGTGCATACATGTATGTAGTGCAATACCCTGGCAAGATACAGAATATTACCATCACCCCGGAGAGTTGTCTCGTGATGCTTCCTGGTCATTCCCTAATGCCACCGTCAGAGGGTAACCACTGTTATGCCTTTCTGACACCATGGATTTGCCTGCTCTAGATTTCATAGAAGTGGAACCATTATAGTACTCTTGAGTGTAAGGCTTCTTTCACTCAGTAATGTTTTTGAGCTTCTTGATTTAATCTTTAAAAATTGACATACCTCACATAACATAAAGTTCACCATTTTAAAGTGTACGCTTCAGTGGTTTTTAGTATATTCACAATGTTGTGTAGCCATCACCACTATCTAATTCCAGGACCAATCGATCACCCCAGAAAGAAACCTATTAGCAGTTCCCCTGTCTCCTGGTAACCCCTAATCTACCTTCTGTCTCCATCCTGACTGAATTTTTCATGTCAATTATACCTGTAGTTATTTTTCCTCATCAAGGTTAATTTTGAGTTTAACTGAAATCTAAAATGGGCTTATTTACCTGTTTATTTGAACTTTGACTTTATTAAGCATATGGCATAATAAGTTATCTAAATATGGAAGGGACATAGTTTATGTAGTTGATGATGACCATATACTGTCATGGAGTCATGAATCCTCATATAGAATCTACCTGGTGCCTTGCTGGCCTCTAGAGCAGAGCTCTGGAGGACAGATGCTGAGCTAGATGGCACAGACACAGCCACCTCCTGCAGGAGCACCTAGGGCCTGACACTGCGTGACTCCGAGGTGCTGGGTAGAGGGTGAGGGCCAAGTGGAGACCTGAGGGGAGAAGTGGACAGTCACGGCCCAGACAGCCCAGAAACAGGCGGGCTCAGCCCCTTGCCTCAGGAAGTCCGGATCCATGTGGTGTGTTCAGTTGGAGGGACCACTGATTTGTTATGACACACTCTCAGTGACTGAGCCTCTTAAACCAAGCATTTTGTATTTGGTTGAAGATACTGCATCAGGAACTGGGACATTGGTCCTACTCTTTGCCACTCTCTTTCCACTATACCGTGGTTCACTTTCTGTAAATGGAAATGCAAGTGAACTCAGATCTGTGAGCTCCTTCAGGGCTGATGAACAAGGTCAGGTTTGGGCAGTGGATTTAACAATGAACAGAAACCCTCTGATAAAATAAGCCATTTTAAATGTTGGAGGAAAGATTTTGGAGGAAAACTTAAGCAGTCAATTTTGTAAATTCCTTAGTGTGCTTCCTTGAACTTCTAAATGTTTAAATTTAGCTCAGATAGTACTCAGTTGAGACTGTTTTCCTCTCTTAACATTGAATATCTGAATTATTAATATGTCACATTACAACTCATGTGACTTGTGTCAGGATTCGGATGCAACACCATGCAAAACCCCGAAACAGCTGCTCTGCCGTCCATCTACTGGGAACCGAGTAGGGTCTCAAGATGTGTCCTTGGAGTCCTCGCAGGCAGTTGGGAAAATGCAGAGCACCCAAACCACCAGTACATCCAACAGCACCAACAAATCTCAGGTATGTGCAATTTGTGTTTTCGATTGTTATTAAGAAATTCTTAAATATTTTGTATTGAATACTACGGATACATCATGGGTTTGAAAAAACTCTAGGTTAAAGAACAAAACCTATTTTGTTCTAATGGGTTCCAGAGTCTTTCTAGTAACAGAATGCCCTGAGGATCTTTTTGATACATCACTGTAAAATAAACCTTGTGGGAATCTAGTGACCAGCCCTTACAGTAGGTTCCAGCTAACCCCTTGTGTTACAGATTCAGCATAAAAAATCAAATTATAAAAAGATACAATTATACTTAACATAAACTCACGTGAAGCTTTTGCATGACCTCTTAGCAGTGCTGGGCCTATCCTGAATAACGTATCCCTTTTATATTTTAATATTCAATACCTCATTGCCTGTGTTGAAATGATCAGGCAGCTGTCAGCCATGGTCAGTCGATGTAGCATCAGCTTTGACTTAAAGAAGCCATGGAGATAACTCTATTTTAGGTTTTTTAGTTGCCTAAAATTTTGTGAATCATGAGTAATCAGAATGAGGGGAGGCTATTACATATTGGGCCCTGGGCTTATGCCATCTCACCCTCCCCCATGACAAAGCCCCTGGGGAAGGCCTTTTGGCAGTAGAGATTCACTGTTGTGTCAGTTACCTAATGTCTGACTTGACTTGCAGAATCCACTTTATCTATACAGCCTTAGTCATGTGCATCAAACACTGACTCATTTAGGAATGGCAATGAAAGTGACAGGTGATAACAGAAAAGGAGGGGCCAGTTTGATGACCTCTGACCTGACAACACACTTCTGTGTCTTAAGAGCTTTTTCCAGAAATGCCATTTATTATGTGGTTTATGGGTTGGTAGATTCTTTGAGAAACGTTTTATGTGCTATGTAGTCTGTTAAGAAAGTAAGGGAGTGAGTGGTCTGTGTTTTCCAATATTTTCATTAAAAAACAGTCTAAGTTTTAGAGCTCAAGAGAGTGAACCCCTGTAGCATTGTTTCCTGCCTTCTGCATAAGTCAGCGTATTCCTAGTTTTGAAAGCTCCCCGAGTCAGGTCTTAGCGAGTGCTCTGTTGAGTCCACAATACTGATGTCTTTTTGACCACTTTTCCTTTTCTGCAGCACGGATCAGCAAGGCTCTTCCGTTCTTCCAGCAAAGGCTTCCAAGGTACAACTCAAACAAGCCATGGTTCCTTGATGACAAGCAAACAACATCAAGGCAAATCAAATAATCAGTATTATGGCAAAAAGAGGAAACACAAGAGGGATGGCCCCCTCTCAGACCTTTGTAGATAGTCGGCGTTGTACGATGGACTATCTTCTGCGTGCAGTGATCTCATGCTCAGGACAGTTGGATAGGGACTCCTGGGAGACATTTGGGAGCCTTACATACTGTTCAGACTTTGATTTAGCAACTGAGTTTTTTCCCAGCTCGCCACGGAATGGATCATGAAGACTGACAACTGCAAAAACAAAAAGCAAGCAAAAAGGGGGGGAAAGGCTGATCATTTGATAAGTCATATGCTACAACAGGGTCATTTTAAGATTTAAGGCTTGAATGTGAAATATATTTCTCATTGGCTTTATGCAGAGTTATAGGGAATAGTATTCAGTGTGGGTAGGGTGATAGAAACAAAAAAACAATTTCAGAGGATGGGGTGGGAAAGGATTACAAAGGTATCTCATAAGAAGTCCAGATTCCAAAGGGGAAAGTGATCTGTGCATGCTTTTTTAAAAAATATTTTTGCATATATTTACCATTTTATTGTGTGTATATATAGATGACCATATAGGAAATTGATATTTGTAATAGTGGATTTGTTAATACTTTTTACATAACATTACTGTTTAAATTGTAAACAGATTTTTCTCAGGATTAGTTTGAAAAATAATATGAATTGTCATCTTAACATCCATATATAGGGAAGTGATTAGTTCTATTACTCAATTTGTTTTCCTCAGCATTGAAATGACTTAATAGAACCCTTGTGACCTGCTGCAAAAATTTTTCCTCTCTAACGAAAAGATTTATGGTGGCAAATGACATTTTATTTTGTAAAAAAAAAAAAAAAGAAAAAAAAAGAATACTATGTACTTTTGTGTAAACACTGAAAAATCTCTAGTCATCTCTGAATTAACTTGCAACTGTTTTCTATAGTGCTGTCGTCTTGGGCAATGAGTGGGCAATTACATGACTTTGTGTTTGTTTCCTTTGCAGTCTTTTTTTTTCTTCTTCTTCTTTTTTCTTCCTAATAGGGAAAAAAAAGGCCACCCCTATCTGGTCCTGTCGCAGTGAGACCTGAGGTTGCCCAGACCTTGCATGCTGGCTCCTCTGACCTTGTGTTCTCCTTGAGCTTGTTCTTCCCATCTCTCTTCTTTTTTAAATTCATGCTGAACTGCTGTGGGAGAGAATAACTGTAAACAGCTTTAATTAAATCACACCTATAAAAAACTATTTTCTTATACTCCACTTTATGCTTTTGGTATTGTTGATCTTTAAAAATTAAATGGTCTTTGATAATGGGTCTATTTTGTATTGCCTTATTAAGACCAAATACTTCTTGTCATCCCATTCTTTATCCTCTCCTTTCGTGGAGTTGTTACCTTTAATTAAAATTTTTTTAAACATTGGTTTGTTTCAATCATACTGTAAATTTTGGTTGTGGTCATCTTTGAGAGCAAATGAGATGTGTAATTCTGTTATTCACCACATGTTGAGTTTGAAACTCAGCTGGGAATATTTAATATAATAGAATGTAAGTGATATTTCTGAAAATGCTTACTCTCAAGGTGAAAGCTCTTAAGTTTAGCATAAGTGTGTGTGTGGCTCTGTTAATTATGGCCATTTCTGAAATGAGATTCTTTTATATATTTATCCATATAAAATACTATTGGCTTTTAGGAATTTCTTTTATATACATTTATGAAATACTGAATACCAATCAGACCATTAAATGGACACTTAGTGCAACTTTTTATAAAGAAAATAATGCTAAAGTAAGACCAAAACTGATGTCATCAATGAAATTAACAATTTCAATATGTTCATATTTTAATTCACAACAGAAAAATGTGTTCCAAAACTGGAAACTCATAATACTTGTGTAAACCATGGAAATTTTAAATGTGATGTTATTTTGACAATGTTTAAAATTTTAGAGTCATATTTTATTCTGATCAGAATTTTTATCAAGATGTTGAGCTTTTGTTTTTTGAAAACTAGTTTTGTCATAACGTATTGTGCATAATCACAGTATTTATTTTCTAGGACTATTGTGAATGTGTAGACTTATGTTTACTGCTAAGGGAACAATTATTTATAAAATAATATTAAATCCAGTATTAGCTGCCTATTTCAGATGAACACTTAATACTTGCAGAGATCCATGTTACATTTACCACACTGAAGTTTTGTTTTTTTTAAGAATCACCCTCATTGTTGAAAGTAAATGTACTCTTAGGGTGCGGATATTAGTGTTCCAATAAGCATGTGATTATGTTAAGGTGGTGGTAGCGGGAAGATAATCTTGATTCCATTGGGAATCTTAGGTTTTCGTAAATTTATTGGGAAAATAGTTTTTCCTGTATTGCTGAAGTTTCTTTTTGGTAAACAGTATCTTTCTAAAAGAAAAAGCATGAAGGAGAAATTGAGGTGTGTACATTTCCTCAAATGACCAGCATTGTATTTGTGAATACTGTGTATCTTGCAATGAACAGTGTGGAAGCTGTTCATTTTTCAATCTGAAGTAAAATACTTTCAAGAACTTTTAGTTTGCCTGCTCATTTGTTTTGTACATTCCATCTCTGTATTTGACTCCTGTCTTTTTTCTCTTTTGAGTTTTAATACTTTCTTTAAAGATTTTGTGAATATATCAGAAGCATGTCATTTAAATATTACAGTCCATCCATATCATGAATCATGACCTTCCTTTGCTAGCACTTGTGGAACAGATTTTACAAACTCTGCCTCCCTGTTGTGACATTTCTCTGGTGGTCATGTGCATGTGCCTAGTTCTTAAAAAATCAAGATGAACATTTAAGTACTGCTTTCTAGAGGTGCTGATGGGTCGAAGAGGTTCAGCACAAAACCTGAGTGGTTATGTTTTGATGACAAAGGTAAATGCTTTTTTTCCCCCTCCAGTTTTAAGGGTCCATGAAGGCGCCTGGTTCTGAGCCTTTGTTTTGTCTGGAGATGTTGTGCCTGGTTTTCAGATCTCACTTTGATCTGTGGGATCTAGTGGTTTTACAGGTAGTTGTCTTCTGGCCTTCAACAATTGATCATACTATATTTTTGCCCAATTTTGAGTGTGTTTTACCTTTACTTGCATTTTGAGCCTCTCATTAATATTTAGATTATTTACTTTGGTTCCAGATATTCCTGGTTAAAGTCTTCACAGAGCAAAATATGGGTGGTAGGGAGAACATTTTTAATACTCTTTTTTTCTTTGAAGTCTCATATCTCCATATGCTTTCTTCTCATTCCCTTCCCCATGTAATGGTAAGTGTGAGTTGTTTGCCATATCCTATTCACTAGTGTTTGGGGTTTTCAGGGTATAGGCAGGACAGAAGACAGTATGACTACTGTGAGCTAGCTGCAGGACCCTATTCCTGTGATATATGCTTATTGCAAAGATCTCTGCAATGACTAGGATTTGGCTGTCAAGCTTGCTCTGTACAAATCCCTAGAAATCATTATCAGGTGTTATTGATAAGTTTTGCTGGTATTTTATTGTTCATGACTACACCTCAATTTTAATACTGATCTACAGTTTGATCAGTTCCTTTGATTTTGACATGCTATTGATTTCTTAGTGTTTCAGTCACTAACTAGGAATGTTGATAGGAAATTGGTTGTTTCTCAATTAACTTTTCAAAAATTAAATGGCAAAGTATGAAAGAAATTCCCAATTTTGCTGTGATTTAGTAAATATTGAAATGTTAAAATTAATGATCTGAAGAGTTTATTCTTATCTATCAGTTCTTGCTCTCCAAGCTCATTAAACTCTGAATTAGTGGAAAGCAACATTCTAATAACTTATTTTGTGAGCAAAATACTCTATAAATGGCTCTATTGAACTTAATTGAGTAGAACAATTATATTTAATAGTTACTCTTTATCCTAATTTTCATCAGTGACATAGTTCATCTAGTGAAGTATTTAGAGAATGATGTAGCATTAAAGTGGGAATGAAGATATAAACATACATAAATACATATGTGCAGTTTTGTGGAAGTGGTTTCTTCACCTTGCCTCAGCTACTGAATTGCAAGACTCTCAACTTGTCAAAGCATTTATGGGTGGAATAAATGTTAAAGAACAAGTTTTAATATACTACTTGATATTTAATATAACTAAGAAACAAGCCACATTTTACTTTGGAAGTTACTTGCAAGGCTCAGAACTTGACATAACCCAGAAACCTTTTTCTTCACCATATTCTTATGAGCTGTCTTGCCACCTTAAGGAACTTTTTTCATCAAAGATAAAAAGCTATAAATATCTGTGTAAATTGAATGTTGACAACTAATTATTAGCCAGAAGAATTGCTTATTAATCTGCTCATCTATTTGATATCCAGAATTTACCTTCTGTCTCCATCCTGACTGAATTTTTCATGTCAATTATACCTGTAGTTATTTTTCCTCATCAAGGTTAATTTTGAGTTTAACTGAAATCTAAAATGGGCTTATTTACCTGTTTATTTGAACTTTGACTTTATTAAGCATATGGCATAATAAGTTATCTAAATATGGAAGGGACATAGTTTATGTAGTTGATGATGACCATATACTGTCATGGAGTCATGAATCCTCATATAGAATCTACCTGGTGCCTTGCTGGCCTCTAGAGCAGAGCTCTGGAGGACAGATGCTGAGCTAGATGGCACAGACACAGCCACCTCCTGCAGGAGCACCTAGGGCCTGACACTGCGTGACTCCGAGGTGCTGGGTAGAGGGTGAGGGCCAAGTGGAGACCTGAGGGGAGAAGTGGACAGTCACGGCCCAGACAGCCCAGAAACAGGCGGGCTCAGCCCCTTGCCTCAGGAAGTCCGGATCCATGTGGTGTGTTCAGTTGGAGGGACCACTGATTTGTTATGACACACTCTCAGTGACTGAGCCTCTTAAACCAAGCATTTTGTATTTGGTTGAAGATACTGCATCAGGAACTGGGACATTGGTCCTACTCTTTGCCACTCTCTTTCCACTATACCGTGGTTCACTTTCTGTAAATGGAAATGCAAGTGAACTCAGATCTGTGAGCTCCTTCAGGGCTGATGAACAAGGTCAGGTTTGGGCAGTGGATTTAACAATGAACAGAAACCCTCTGATAAAATAAGCCATTTTAAATGTTGGAGGAAAGATTTTGGAGGAAAACTTAAGCAGTCAATTTTGTAAATTCCTTAGTGTGCTTCCTTGAACTTCTAAATGTTTAAATTTAGCTCAGATAGTACTCAGTTGAGACTGTTTTCCTCTCTTAACATTGAATATCTGAATTATTAATATGTCACATTACAACTCATGTGACTTGTGTCAGGATTCGGATGCAACACCATGCAAAACCCCGAAACAGCTGCTCTGCCGTCCATCTACTGGGAACCGAGTAGGGTCTCAAGATGTGTCCTTGGAGTCCTCGCAGGCAGTTGGGAAAATGCAGAGCACCCAAACCACCAGTACATCCAACAGCACCAACAAATCTCAGGTATGTGCAATTTGTGTTTTCGATTGTTATTAAGAAATTCTTAAATATTTTGTATTGAATACTACGGATACATCATGGGTTTGAAAAAACTCTAGGTTAAAGAACAAAACCTATTTTGTTCTAATGGGTTCCAGAGTCTTTCTAGTAACAGAATGCCCTGAGGATCTTTTTGATACATCACTGTAAAATAAACCTTGTGGGAATCTAGTGACCAGCCCTTACAGTAGGTTCCAGCTAACCCCTTGTGTTACAGATTCAGCATAAAAAATCAAATTATAAAAAGATACAATTATACTTAACATAAACTCACGTGAAGCTTTTGCATGACCTCTTAGCAGTGCTGGGCCTATCCTGAATAACGTATCCCTTTTATATTTTAATATTCAATACCTCATTGCCTGTGTTGAAATGATCAGGCAGCTGTCAGCCATGGTCAGTCGATGTAGCATCAGCTTTGACTTAAAGAAGCCATGGAGATAACTCTATTTTAGGTTTTTTAGTTGCCTAAAATTTTGTGAATCATGAGTAATCAGAATGAGGGGAGGCTATTACATATTGGGCCCTGGGCTTATGCCATCTCACCCTCCCCCATGACAAAGCCCCTGGGGAAGGCCTTTTGGCAGTAGAGATTCACTGTTGTGTCAGTTACCTAATGTCTGACTTGACTTGCAGAATCCACTTTATCTATACAGCCTTAGTCATGTGCATCAAACACTGACTCATTTAGGAATGGCAATGAAAGTGACAGGTGATAACAGAAAAGGAGGGGCCAGTTTGATGACCTCTGACCTGACAACACACTTCTGTGTCTTAAGAGCTTTTTCCAGAAATGCCATTTATTATGTGGTTTATGGGTTGGTAGATTCTTTGAGAAACGTTTTATGTGCTATGTAGTCTGTTAAGAAAGTAAGGGAGTGAGTGGTCTGTGTTTTCCAATATTTTCATTAAAAAACAGTCTAAGTTTTAGAGCTCAAGAGAGTGAACCCCTGTAGCATTGTTTCCTGCCTTCTGCATAAGTCAGCGTATTCCTAGTTTTGAAAGCTCCCCGAGTCAGGTCTTAGCGAGTGCTCTGTTGAGTCCACAATACTGATGTCTTTTTGACCACTTTTCCTTTTCTGCAGCACGGATCAGCAAGGCTCTTCCGTTCTTCCAGCAAAGGCTTCCAAGGTACAACTCAAACAAGCCATGGTTCCTTGATGACAAGCAAACAACATCAAGGCAAATCAAATAATCAGTATTATGGCAAAAAGAGGAAACACAAGAGGGATGGCCCCCTCTCAGACCTTTGTAGATAGTCGGCGTTGTACGATGGACTATCTTCTGCGTGCAGTGATCTCATGCTCAGGACAGTTGGATAGGGACTCCTGGGAGACATTTGGGAGCCTTACATACTGTTCAGACTTTGATTTAGCAACTGAGTTTTTTCCCAGCTCGCCACGGAATGGATCATGAAGACTGACAACTGCAAAAACAAAAAGCAAGCAAAAAGGGGGGGAAAGGCTGATCATTTGATAAGTCATATGCTACAACAGGGTCATTTTAAGATTTAAGGCTTGAATGTGAAATATATTTCTCATTGGCTTTATGCAGAGTTATAGGGAATAGTATTCAGTGTGGGTAGGGTGATAGAAACAAAAAAACAATTTCAGAGGATGGGGTGGGAAAGGATTACAAAGGTATCTCATAAGAAGTCCAGATTCCAAAGGGGAAAGTGATCTGTGCATGCTTTTTTAAAAAATATTTTTGCATATATTTACCATTTTATTGTGTGTATATATAGATGACCATATAGGAAATTGATATTTGTAATAGTGGATTTGTTAATACTTTTTACATAACATTACTGTTTAAATTGTAAACAGATTTTTCTCAGGATTAGTTTGAAAAATAATATGAATTGTCATCTTAACATCCATATATAGGGAAGTGATTAGTTCTATTACTCAATTTGTTTTCCTCAGCATTGAAATGACTTAATAGAACCCTTGTGACCTGCTGCAAAAATTTTTCCTCTCTAACGAAAAGATTTATGGTGGCAAATGACATTTTATTTTGTAAAAAAAAAAAAAAAGAAAAAAAAAGAATACTATGTACTTTTGTGTAAACACTGAAAAATCTCTAGTCATCTCTGAATTAACTTGCAACTGTTTTCTATAGTGCTGTCGTCTTGGGCAATGAGTGGGCAATTACATGACTTTGTGTTTGTTTCCTTTGCAGTCTTTTTTTTTCTTCTTCTTCTTTTTTCTTCCTAATAGGGAAAAAAAAGGCCACCCCTATCTGGTCCTGTCGCAGTGAGACCTGAGGTTGCCCAGACCTTGCATGCTGGCTCCTCTGACCTTGTGTTCTCCTTGAGCTTGTTCTTCCCATCTCTCTTCTTTTTTAAATTCATGCTGAACTGCTGTGGGAGAGAATAACTGTAAACAGCTTTAATTAAATCACACCTATAAAAAACTATTTTCTTATACTCCACTTTATGCTTTTGGTATTGTTGATCTTTAAAAATTAAATGGTCTTTGATAATGGGTCTATTTTGTATTGCCTTATTAAGACCAAATACTTCTTGTCATCCCATTCTTTATCCTCTCCTTTCGTGGAGTTGTTACCTTTAATTAAAATTTTTTTAAACATTGGTTTGTTTCAATCATACTGTAAATTTTGGTTGTGGTCATCTTTGAGAGCAAATGAGATGTGTAATTCTGTTATTCACCACATGTTGAGTTTGAAACTCAGCTGGGAATATTTAATATAATAGAATGTAAGTGATATTTCTGAAAATGCTTACTCTCAAGGTGAAAGCTCTTAAGTTTAGCATAAGTGTGTGTGTGGCTCTGTTAATTATGGCCATTTCTGAAATGAGATTCTTTTATATATTTATCCATATAAAATACTATTGGCTTTTAGGAATTTCTTTTATATACATTTATGAAATACTGAATACCAATCAGACCATTAAATGGACACTTAGTGCAACTTTTTATAAAGAAAATAATGCTAAAGTAAGACCAAAACTGATGTCATCAATGAAATTAACAATTTCAATATGTTCATATTTTAATTCACAACAGAAAAATGTGTTCCAAAACTGGAAACTCATAATACTTGTGTAAACCATGGAAATTTTAAATGTGATGTTATTTTGACAATGTTTAAAATTTTAGAGTCATATTTTATTCTGATCAGAATTTTTATCAAGATGTTGAGCTTTTGTTTTTTGAAAACTAGTTTTGTCATAACGTATTGTGCATAATCACAGTATTTATTTTCTAGGACTATTGTGAATGTGTAGACTTATGTTTACTGCTAAGGGAACAATTATTTATAAAATAATATTAAATCCAGTATTAGCTGCCTATTTCAGATGAACACTTAATACTTGCAGAGATCCATGTTACATTTACCACACTGAAGTTTTGTTTTTTTTAAGAATCACCCTCATTGTTGAAAGTAAATGTACTCTTAGGGTGCGGATATTAGTGTTCCAATAAGCATGTGATTATATTAAGGTGGTGGTAGCGGGAAGATAATCTTGATTCCATTGGGAATCTTAGGTTTTCGTAAATTTATTGGGAAAATAGTTTTTCCTGTATTGCTGAAGTTTCTTTTTGGTAAACAGTATCTTTCTAAAAGAAAAAGCATGAAGGAGAAATTGAGGTGTGTACATTTCCTCAAATGACCAGCATTGTATTTGTGAATACTGTGTATCTTGCAATGAACAGTGTGGAAGCTGTTCATTTTTCAATCTGAAGTAAAATACTTTCAAGAACTTTTAGTTTGCCTGCTCATTTGTTTTGTACATTCCATCTCTGTATTTGACTCCTGTCTTTTTTCTCTTTTGAGTTTTAATACTTTCTTTAAAGATTTTGTGAATATATCAGAAGCATGTCATTTAAATATTACAGTCCATCCATATCATGAATCATGACCTTCCTTTGCTAGCACTTGTGGAACAGATTTTACAAACTCTGCCTCCCTGTTGTGACATTTCTCTGGTGGTCATGTGCATGTGCCTAGTTCTTAAAAAATCAAGATGAACATTTAAGTACTGCTTTCTAGAGGTGCTGATGGGTCGAAGAGGTTCAGCACAAAACCTGAGTGGTTATGTTTTGATGACAAAGGTAAATGCTTTTTTTCCCCCTCCAGTTTTAAGGGTCCATGAAGGCGCCTGGTTCTGAGCCTTTGTTTTGTCTGGAGATGTTGTGCCTGGTTTTCAGATCTCACTTTGATCTGTGGGATCTAGTGGTTTTACAGGTAGTTGTCTTCTGGCCTTCAACAATTGATCATACTATATTTTTGCCCAATTTTGAGTGTGTTTTACCTTTACTTGCATTTTGAGCCTCTCATTAATATTTAGATTATTTACTTTGGTTCCAGATATTCCTGGTTAAAGTCTTCACAGAGCAAAATATGGGTGGTAGGGAGAACATTTTTAATACTCTTTTTTTCTTTGAAGTCTCATATCTCCATATGCTTTCTTCTCATTCCCTTCCCCATGTAATGGTAAGTGTGAGTTGTTTGCCATATCCTATTCACTAGTGTTTGGGGTTTTCAGGGTATAGGCAGGACAGAAGACAGTATGACTACTGTGAGCTAGCTGCAGGACCCTATTCCTGTGATATATGCTTATTGCAAAGATCTCTGCAATGACTAGGATTTGGCTGTCAAGCTTGCTCTGTACAAATCCCTAGAAATCATTATCAGGTGTTATTGATAAGTTTTGCTGGTATTTTATTGTTCATGACTACACCTCAATTTTAATACTGATCTACAGTTTGATCAGTTCCTTTGATTTTGACATGCTATTGATTTCTTAGTGTTTCAGTCACTAACTAGGAATGTTGATAGGAAATTGGTTGTTTCTCAATTAACTTTTCAAAAATTAAATGGCAAAGTATGAAAGAAATTCCCAATTTTGCTGTGATTTAGTAAATATTGAAATGTTAAAATTAATGATCTGAAGAGTTTATTCTTATCTATCAGTTCTTGCTCTCCAAGCTCATTAAACTCTGAATTAGTGGAAAGCAACATTCTAATAACTTATTTTGTGAGCAAAATACTCTATAAATGGCTCTATTGAACTTAATTGAGTAGAACAATTATATTTAATAGTTACTCTTTATCCTAATTTTCATCAGTGACATAGTTCATCTAGTGAAGTATTTAGAGAATGATGTAGCATTAAAGTGGGAATGAAGATATAAACATACATAAATACATATGTGCAGTTTTGTGGAAGTGGTTTCTTCACCTTGCCTCAGCTACTGAATTGCAAGACTCTCAACTTGTCAAAGCATTTATGGGTGGAATAAATGTTAAAGAACAAGTTTTAATATACTACTTGATATTTAATATAACTAAGAAACAAGCCACATTTTACTTTGGAAGTTACTTGCAAGGCTCAGAACTTGACATAACCCAGAAACCTTTTTCTTCACCATATTCTTATGAGCTGTCTTGCCACCTTAAGGAACTTTTTTCATCAAAGATAAAAAGCTATAAATATCTGTGTAAATTGAATGTTGACAACTAATTATTAGCCAGAAGAATTGCTTATTAATCTGCTCATCTATTTGATATCCAGAATTAAAAACTTGGGGACAGTTTTTAGTTAATAAACTGCTAATATTTGTTATGTCAGGTTGTTTTGTTTTGTTTAAGTATTTGGTCATTACATATTCTAGTGAAGGATGTGCCTTACCAAGTTTAACCTAATCCAAGCCTGAGGAGGTAACACTTTAGAAAGAGGTTGAACCAGAGAGATGGAGATAGCATATCCTCTTTGGTTACTATGAACTTGTGGTATTTCCTGGATTTACTGGGAGAAATGCTAGCCATATCACCAAGAACAGATGGGAACAGGCAAATCAGGGGTTCTCTTAATTTGTGCATTTGAGCGAAGTGTTTATTAGTATTTGCACATCATCTTTTTTTCTATGCATTTTATCTTAAGTCCTTGTGGTTCCACATGGCCTTGGCTACTTTTCATTCCAACAGCTTCTTTGTAGGAAAGTCTCCATTAAGGAAACAGTCTGGGTGAATTTGATAGGAGTGTTGTTTTATCTTAAAGATGCTATAGTAGTGAGAGATTATGAAATAGAGCAAGCTGGTCTTTACCTGAATGCTGGGGTGGGTTTGGAAGGGGAGAGGAAAGAGGCCTAAGACAAACATTATCTAAAGCCAGTCCTTGTCTTTTATGGATGAGTTAGCTGTACCTTTTAAAGAGAGTGAGATTTTTGGATATCAGCTACATTCTTTGAGTTTAAATATTTTCACCTTTGAATTTGGGTTCTGTGTAATTCATAGCTGTTCCCTCAATCATTTCATAATTACCTTTTATATTTGGTTGCAATTTGTTATGTCTTTTTGTCTAAAGTTAAATCTCAGATTTAAAATCTCACTCTGATTTTTATATATTTAAATTTTACAGAGTCCTTTTCTCTTTTTAAGTCTCTTGAAAGTACTATAATCCTAAAATAATCCAATGACTTATTCCAAGTATCAGAATCTTCACACTGTACTCAATAATAAAGACTCACTGTCTTAAACACGGTGTTAAGGGCAAAAGGTTAGGTGGCAGCCAGTTTCGTTTCTGGATAGAAAATGTGAAGGACTATTTAGACAATTTTTAGTGGCATATATATAAATGCATATGTTTAGAAGTTTAGTGAGCCAGTGCTTGTTTTTAATAACCTTTTTATTTATTTCCTTCTTTGATTAGCATTGCCTTCTGTATTAAGAAATGCGGACTCCTGTGAGGTGCTGGAGGTTTGAATCATCTTGAAAGCTTTCCAGTCTTGTCTAGTTACTGCTGGAGAGGCACTAAGGAATTTACCAGAAAAAGAGATTCGATACAAATGATTTATGAAATCTCAGCATTTCCTGAGGTCATATCAGTGGGTGCCAGTTATCAATGCTGTGAATGAATTGCACACCTGGAAGCTTTTTAGCTAAAGACGATTTCTTCGAAGATGTCAGTTGTTTGCCTTGAAAATTTTATAAAGTGCATTTCTATGCACATCTGCCCCCAGTGCTTGCCACTGGTTTTATTATTCATAAACTTCAATAAAGGCTTTGTGCTTTCATTTATCTTCAAAACCTCTGGTATGAGCCCTTATGTAAAACTTGAATGGCTTTTTAAAAAAGAAATTATCATGTAATTCTGAAAAACAACACTGTTTAGACCAATGAGGTTTCCGTGTACATTGATAGCATGTCTGTGCGTTTGCATTCTTATTAATGCCAGCAGTGGAATGGGAGGTGATTCTGTTTTTCCTCCTGCCGAGGTCCTAGCCAAAGGTAGCTGTTTGGCCTCCCCACAGCCATTGCAAGACTATGGAAACTGATTCCCTATAATTTGGTTATTTGCAAATACCGACCCAGTTTTATCCTTTTCTTTATATTATGTTTGCTATATTAAGAAATGAGATACTTTACCATAGATTCAATGCAGCAACAAATGATACAGACTGTTAACAATAGAGTAATGAAAATGGTTGGTTCTCCAAAGAATAGAGAAGCAGGGTTAATAACTAAGTGTAACCAAATCATGTTTTCAGAATTCTCCCTGAGGGAGCAAAAAAGCAGCCCTGTGTTTTGGACTGGTGGTGCTTGCCTGGAACCCATCTGACTTGTGGTGAAAATTCTGGGTAGATTGCTTCAAGACAATCAGAAGCTAATTTATAGTGAAGTGTAGCTCAGCAGTGTGTGGACAACTGGATGGTTAAAACCAGACTGCCTACTTCATCCTGATTTCTTCTCTCTTCTTACACATTTACTGAAAATGTTCTCTTTTAAAAACAAAGTATAATCCTGTTAAATAGCATCCTGGAACTTCCTCAAGTGGTAAATTAGAATAAACTGAATATACAGGACAATTATGTCCACCTAGCTAGATACAGTGAACTTTTCTTAATTTCTTAACTAATATGTGAATGTATGTTCTTTTGTGCAAAAATGTAAATAATATGTAAATGTATGGGTGGATCTAGTTTACCCTTAACCCCCTAATCCCACTAGCTCCCTAGCGATAGCTGCTCTAATATTTTGGGATATATCCTTCTAGATTTTTAAAAATGCATTTACATACATATATGTCATATCTGCATATGAATAATTTCAGGGAGTCTTCCCCTTTTATATATGTGCTATCATACTGTAGTATTCTGTAACTCCCTACCATATGGAGAGCTCTTTTCTGTATCAGTATACAGATCCACTTCATTTTTTTTATATGACCCTGACTTTTGCTTGCAAGTAGATCTAGTAAATTAATGCCAGATAGTTAAGGCCCTTATAAACTAACAGCCTCTTATGAAATATCTAGAACTTATCAGCTTATCTGGAATAGGGGTTTTCTAAGTATTGCTGTTGGATGGCACTTTTCTTCTGAACTGAGTTTAGTGGGGGAAAAAAATTCCTTTATCTTCTTTTAGGTGAATTTTCACAAGGCATTAAGAAGTGTTACATTTTTTTATATTTTTCCTAGGATTCTAATCTTAGAAATGCAACATGCCATTTGAAAGTGCACCCTGCTACTTTTTTTATATTTCTACTTTTCAAAAATGTTGCCCTTGGCAAAACTCATGAACAAAATCAGTCATAATGATCATTCTCCACCAGTTGCCACCCCACCAAAAAAAAAACCTTGGTATTTTAACTTCAAGACCCTTCAGAAATTGCAGCAGCAGACACAACTCTAAAAATAAGTTACCTGCTTAAAGTAGAATGAATTGTATGGTGAGCAAAGAGGGACTCTTGTGAAGAAGG